TTTATGTATCCATTGTCCATTTTACAAAATATAGCAGAGTTCATCTGACATTCAATGCCACATAGCCAGTACAAGGCAGACCTCTGTGATTCATGTCTAGAGCACTCTTACTCCAAAATACTGCACTCTAAAAGCTTAGTCAAAAGAAACAATCCTTTTTTTAAAAAATTTTCCCTTCCTTCCTTCCTTTTTTCCCTCACCCTAGTTCTTCTTTCCTTTTGAACAATTTCTTCCTGTTTCACAATATTCATTGTACATTTTGGTCCTTATTTACTCTTTTAGTTTCTCACACCAGGAGACAATGCAGTGTTTATACATGAGAATCCAATTTATTTCACTTAAGAGTATGGTCTCAAGGTGCATCCATTTAGAAAAGGATAAAATGGAAACAAAGCTTTGTAAATCGGGAGGGGAAGATCGGTTGAAGAGAAGAGGGGACTGGGAAGAAAAGAGGAATCAAAATATGTCATGTATGGGTACAAATTCCCTATAGTGAATATGCTCATTATATATATAAAATGTAGCAATAAACTTAATTTAAAAAAATAGAAAATTAATAAAAGCACTGAATCTTGAGTAGTAATTGTGAGGTTTTGTTGAGTAAGAAGAACCAACTCTTCTGGGGAAAAAATTAGTGGCTGATCTACACAAGGTGCTCTTATCAAATAATGCATTAGAATATGTGTCCAGGTGATTTTATACAAGAGCCAACACAAGGAAGGGGATGGTCTGATTCTGTAATTTAAAGATACAGGAAAGCACAGGAATCATTGTGTATAGTACTGGTATATATTTACACATAACTACACATGTGTGAATAGCGGGGGGGGGGGAGACAGAGAATTGCTGACTCAGCAGAATGTGACATTTTAGCAATGTCACATAATAACTAGGGAAAGGAAATTTACAGACATATTAACTGAAGAAGCCAGCTACAGATCATCCAAAGTATGGATCATTATTATTATTCATTCTTAGTACATAAAAGCTTACTTCTTGATAGTGTTCATGTAATTACAAATGTGATGATTTTTTTGAAAATACATGTAAAAATACCTCCCCTTCCCCACCCTAGGAAACATTGGTTTCAATGTAACTCTTTTCAGATAAGGGAGTCATGAAATAAAGAGTAACTTTGAAAGCTTATTCAGTTACATAGATATATGCTGGCTTAGCTGAATCAGGCTAGTGATCAAAAATTTTAAACTGAGAAGGAATGCTTTGCCTTACTTTACAATCACAACTATGAATAAATGTCTGCATATAGTGAATTGCTTCCTTGTCTGCCCCACTGCTAAAGAAGGCCTCAAAAATTTGGCTTATTTAGCAAATACCTTTTTGGGGCTTAACACTGAATCAACAACTACATGGTAGAACTGAATGCTTTCACTAAACATGACAAAATGGTTGCAATTATAATGAAATTTGATTGTTGGATAACGAGATGATTGTGGTTACTGTGAGTCACTTGAGACTTTGTTCATTTACATCCGATAAAAATTACGGTGTTAGTAGTGAAACAATAAAAAGAAACAAACCATTAGTTTTCTTTCTTCACTGAATGAGCCTTTGTGTAGATCTCTGAGATAAGAAAATGCTAACTGATGGACACAAAAACTTTATAACTCACCATATGGGGAGTGAAGTGATCTCACCGCAAGAAGATAGGATGGAAATCATCAATGTCTTTAGCCTGAATACATTGGGCTGCTTCAAGTTTTTTGCACATTGTGAAAAATTCCTCTTAATATGGTAAGTTACTGGCTTATGAACATTCAAGTTGCCAATTTTCACAGATGTGAATGGACCTCACGTTATGAACATTTACAAATGTGAACAAATTGCAGAAGTAGCTCATGGGTTTCCAGGATATTGTCATAGTTGTGTTGCTGTGTGCATACTGCAGAGTACAATAGTGTGAAGTAGTTTAGTGCTCAGTCAGAGCCCAGGATGTCCAGAAGAAAGAGTTAAAGCAGTGGCGATGTGGAGAGGACCGCGAGAAAGCACAAAGCAAACATTGTGTATTTGTGTCAAAAGTGCACAAGACTGTCTTTTTCTAACTTACAAGTAAATCTGATTTATGAATGTTCTCCTGGAATGGAACTTGCTCATAAGTCATGGATTAACTGTATACCTTGTGAGAGCTGCCATATTGGGTACTTACTGGATGTGAAAAGATTCTGTCTGAGTATTTGTTCAGTTCTTTTAACTCTTACAGTAGTGTAAACATACTGATGCACTCTATTATCATCAGTTATTATCTGGCAGTGAGGAACCTGGAACACAATGAAGTCATTGACTAGCCAGAGGTCATCCAGTTGATGACAAAAGCAAGATGGGGACACAGACAGCATGACTCGGGGTTGCATTTACTCACTGTTCCGTGCTGCAGCTTTAGAGTGGAGATGAAGGCTGCTGCCATTTGTGTATTTATGAGTTTGACTTTTGAAAATATTTTGACATTACGAGTGAGACAAAAACTAATTTCTGTGTGCCAAATCAGTACTCCATGTATCTTAATTTTCTGAACTTGAAAACTACAACAGCATTTTGACTATTAAGAAAGATGTAGGCATTCTCTAGAAGGCAGAGGCAAAAAGATTGAAAGTTGAAGATCAGCTTGGGGAATTTAGCAACACTGTCTAAAAAGGAAATGTAAAAAGGGGTGGGATGGGGAACTTGAGATGTAATTCTGTGAAAACTTTGGATTAAATCACCAGTACCGCAGTTCAAATAGTGGAAAAAAAGAAGAAAGGGGAGAAGGAACGGAAGAAAAGGCAGGTGTAGCAGCATTATTTGTCTTCCAGAGTTAGTAAATAATAAAACTATCACTCTCATATGTGACACATATCAAAATACCCAAATTTTGTATGAATTTTTAATATTTTTAAAATATTGTTAATAATTTTAGTATTGACCTTGAAGCAATATAGATATGAATTTACCTCTCTCCTGTATGCGGGAGATTTGGAAAGAGATAAGGAGCACTATGCAATTTCAACAGATGCTTTAGGGCTGTAAGAATTGCATGTGAAATTTCCAAATTTTTGCTGTGTGGAAATAATTATTTTTAATAATCACAGAGGAACTTCCCATGTCACTGTCATCAATAGTCAGTATTTATTGTATATCTGCTACAGACAGGAAATTCTATGAGATCCTAGGAAAATACATTCCTTCCTGTTAAGAGTTGTACAGTCATATTGGAATACAATATCCAAAAAAAGGGAAATAATAATGTTGTTCAATGCTCAAGAATCAACAATATGGGAGATACAAGAAATCGATATAACAGTGGTTCTTCATCAACCTTTCAGTTACATTTTGAAGAGAGAAATTAGCTTGGGCAATTCACTAAAAGAATGAGGATCCCAGAACCAAGAGAGATTCTCTCCATCCTGAAATTTCGCACATACCTGAAAGTCAACCTCTTTCTTTTTTTTTTATAAATTTTTTTTTGTCTTTTTCCTTTTTTTTTTTTTTTTTTTTTTTTTATCGGTACCAGGGATCGAACTCACAACTGCCTGCTTGCAAGGCATGAGCTTATGCTTGCTGAGCTAAATCCCCAGCCCCCAAGTCAACCTCTTTCAAACAGTCAGTCAGCCTTGGCTTCAAAGTTCAAGAATGCTGGGCTTGAGACTCGCCACACAATGAAATCAAGTTTTTACCTGAGTATCAGTCAGAATTTTCTTAGTTAGGATCTAGAATCTCTCCATGACTTGTACTCATCAGCTCATCCTCTAACATTTGAAATCTTGCAAGGCATATTTATATTCTTTCTTACCTGGAATTACTTTAAATATTAGAAAATTATGATTCAGATTCTTTTTCTCTGGGATAAATGTCTTTGCTCTAAAAGGATTGTTCTTATGAAGTATTCATGCATTTTTTAAACTTTCCTTCCAGTCTTTTGAACATACTTCTTAAATTGTAGTGACCAGAGCTGACCATAACAAAGCCAGGCGTGCTGGTGATTCCTTTAATCCCAGCACCCCAGAGGCTGAGGAAGGAAGACTGCCATGACTTCAAGGCCAACCTGGGCTACATAGTGAGTTTAAGGCCGACCTGGACTGATGAAACCTCACACACACACATGCACACAGAAAATAGAACATGGTATTTAACCAACTAACCCAGAGAAGACTTATCCCCATTGGTTTCAGTAATCATCCTGCTATTAAAGCTTTTCAATTTTCCATCAACTCCTTTGTTCGGTTAATACTGAAATTACTATTTGATAAATTACTTAGAACTTTTCATATCCTCTAAATAAGCCATGTTTCACCCATCCTAGTTTTAGGATAGTTGATTTTAGAACCAACCTCATATTAATCTTTCTAAATTTTATCTTGTTTTATTTAATTGTTCAAGCTATAAGATGATTTTGTTCCCTATATCTGATACAAAGGAAAAGGGAAGAAATAACTAAGTAAAATTGTGTGCAGGTAGAAATTGGGTCAGAATTTTCTTCTAATTCCTTGGAAAATAAAAGAAATGCACAGTGGAGGAATGATCCTCTCTGATTTCTATGTGCATTTTGTGGATTTTCCTTATTAATATTTTGCTTAAGCATCAGATGGACCATGACTATACAAGGGTCATTAATTCCACGGTAGCATCCCCAGTACCTCACTATCATTGTATAAGGGCCAAACAAAATATATTTAGAGATGGATAGTGGCATTCTGGGATGCCAGCTTCACACCTGCCTGGTCTGCTCTGCCCTGAATCCCAGGCCCTTTCTAGGCCTGCACCACTGAGAACATCTAAAGTCTTACCTCTGGGTACATATTTCTTTGAAAAGGAGTGAACAATTTCCACTGCCTGTGCTATAAAACTAAATGGTTTCTTTCACAGCAAGTTAGAAAAGAGGGGACAAAGAATTTCCTCCATGTATCCAAAAGTGTTTGAGTGTGTCAGGCCATCATTCTGCCTCATTTGCATAACATTTTTGATGTTTTATTTGTGACATTAAAGAAATTTATTTTGCTCAAAACTGAAGTGGAACTTCAGAAAAAATAAATCTAGCCAGTGCCCTGTTTGCACCATATTTACAGTTGCACACAGGAAGTAGGTACAAATCAATGCTGCAGCACTGATCACCCAGCGCCAGCAGGCTGTGTTCTTTGTGCTGATTGGAACTTACCAAAGGAGCTGCGTTGGCCCAGTCTTTTGGCAGTGCTTGTAGATGGTATTGCTTTGCCGTTTCTGAGCCTAATTCTTCACATGATGCAGCTATGTAGCTAAACTATAGGGTACTGTTTTTCAACGTAACCATATGTCAGGAGACCCAGGAGAAGTTTCGACTGGAACACAGAAGAGATGATGAGCTGTTGGTATTCAGGGACATATAAATCAGGCAGAACGACTGAAGCAATCTGCTCCAGATGGTATGAAAATCTACACAAAAGAATCAGTGAGTACGAATCTTTTTTCTAGAAGGAAGATGTTTATAGCACAACACATAAAATTCTCTCAAAAAAGCACAAAAAAGCACTTCCTTTTAATATTTTTCCTAGCCAGTCAAAAGCCATAGATGATTTTGAAAATCTAATGAATGTTTGCTTCTTTCTACATTAATTTCAAGCCACATCTTTAGAGTTATCCTGAATAAAATGAATACCAAAGATGAGATTTACCTGAATTTTTTCAATTTCCTATTTGAAATTGAGCATTTAACAGTGAAAAAGTTAGGATATTCAGTGTTCAAGAAAACTATTGAGTCTTTCATAGTTTAAATGTTCAGGGTATAAATAAGGACTCCCGTGTGTGTGTGTGTGTGTGTGTGTGTGTGTGTGTGTGTGTGCGCGCGCGCGCGCGCGCGTATGTGTGTGTGTCTGAAGAAGAAAATTTTAAAAAGATATGTACAAAAGATAACAAAACAAATACTCCTACGCTCTATGTTCCAAGTAAACAAAAATTAATTTTTACTTTGTTTCAGGTTTTTTAAAGAAATAATTGGATAAAGTTGAATTCCTTTCTTTTCCAATTACATTTCCCTCATTATCTTCCCAAAATACCCAGTCATGAATTTGTTTCATGCTCTTACAAATTTTTACATGTGTTATCCCAGTGACTAGGTATTACTATGCTGTATATTCATGCAAATTATTTTAATGATACTGTATTTAATATTTTGTCATTACTTTTTCCATTAAGCATTGTTTTGGAAATCTCAAGTTGGTTCATACAGATATGTTACTCATTTTAAGTGCTATTTACATATATATGTAATATATAATATATAATCATATTTCTGAAAAGAATAAAATGTGGTTGCAGCTTAGCTTAGGCTGCTATAACAAAATACCATCAACTAGATGGCCTACTCACCAACTTAAATTTATTTCTAATAGTTCTGGAGGCTGGGTTTTGAGATCAGTGTTCTTTTATAAGGGCTTTATTTTATCCATGAGAGCTTCCCCCCATGATTTAATTCCCTCATAGGCTACACTTCAAATGTTATGACATTGAGTATTACATTTCAACAGATGAATGTGGTGGGAATGCAGCATTCCATCTATAAAATTTTGCCCATGGTTCTAAAATTCATGGTTTCATTACATTCCATATATATTCATTCCATCCCAGCAGCTCCAAAAGTTTGAAAATCAATTCCAAGATATAAAGTTTAAAGAAGATGATCCATCTGTTTTCAAAATTGGGCACAAATGAGATTCAAAGTACAGTTCATTCTTAGACAAAATTCTTGTCTGTGAACCTATAAAACAAAGGAATTCATGTATATACTCTCAAATTACAGTGGTTCTCCAGAGACCTATCGAGTAGCCCTTGCCCTTCCAAAAACGAAGGATGAGGAAAACAAAACAAAAAAAAAGGCCCTAGTAATTTAAGAGGCCCCTAAGATGGCAGGGTTAAGATGGCAGATAGATAACAACTGGCTACAGAGGCTATCTGAAATAGTCAACTTAGAATTCAACATAATTCAGAGTGGGGAGCCCCAAACAGGGGGAGATGAATTCTCTCGTCCCAAGAAGAAATTAAGGTGAGAAGAACCAACCAAACATACAGTCTTGGTGCTATCATTGGAACAGCTAAAGGATCAGTGCTCCTGCCACAGCAGGCGACTTGCCGAAAATCCGAGGTCCTGCTGCGACTTGCTGAGCCGTCTAAAGTCCTGCCACTTTGACTCGCTGGAAGTGCAGTTACATTGATTTCACGGGTCGGGGAGCCGGAAAGCTGAGTTGGCAGGGTGCCTGCATCGACCTGTGGTGAGTGACGGGAGTGGAGCCTTTCCACAGAAAGGGCCTAAGGCATACGACATTCTGGGACCGGGCAAGACTGGCAAGTACAAGGGGCAGCAGTGTATTCTGTCAGTAGTTCCCTTCCCAGATGGGATTGGTGGAGTGAGCTAGGCTTGGGTCACATGACCTAGCTGAGACCTAATAGGTTATCCGAAATCAAGTGCCTACAGCAGTGGCGCACACTAACCACACTAACCCTGTGAAACCTCAGAAGTTTAAATGACCCAGGGGAGGTAGTGCAAAGTAATACAGTGCAGGCCACAGCAGATTGATTGATCCAGAGGGGAGGGGCCAGTATATGATGTCCCTGACTGCAACTCACTAGCACATGGCAGTGGGAAGGGTCATCTAGCCAGTGTGCTTTAGAAGAATTGTAACCAACGAAGAAAGAAACTGAGGCCTCCTGGAAGAAGCAAAAAAAAAGGGAAGAGGAAGCAAGAACAAAAGGTCCCCAAGTCTTAACCCTGAGAACATTGACCCAGGACAGGTAAATACAAAGGAGAATGAGAACAGCAAACATGCAATATCAGACACAGCACCACTGGACATAAAGAGATATCTTCAGGACCTCATAAAGGAGTTCAAAAGGGAAATATTTAGCCAAGTAATGTAAGATATAAGAAGATTAATAAGAGAGATACTAAGCACCCCACAAGCAGACACAGATGGAAGAAGGGAGAAACTCAAAGGAGAGAACCATTTGATGAAGAATATAAAAAATATAGAATACATGAAGCAGATTCAAAGAGATTACCAGGAAATTAAAAACTCTATAGAAAGATGCCAAATCAGCTTGAAAGAAACTAAGGATAGATTATACAAACTGGAGGACAGTTTTGCAATGTGGGAAAGGGAAAACTTTTTAAAAATAACAAGGAAATAAACAGTAACAATACAAAGGCTAGAAGACGATAAGGAGATCTATAACTGGAGAATAAAGAATGTGAATGAAGAAGCAGGGGTACAAACAAAGGAACTACAAAGAAATAATTAAGGAAATAATCACAGAAATAATTAAGGAAAACTTCCCAAACATAGGAAAAGGAAATGATATTCTGATATATGGGGCATACAGAACTGCAGCCACCTACAACCAAAACAGAGCTACACCCAGGCATATAATAAGATCCCAGAAATTCAATATAATAACAGAATATTAAAAGCTGTTAGAGACAAGAAACAAATAACCTATAAAGGAAAGCCCATCAGGATAAAGGCAGACTTCTCGACACAAACCATCAAGTCAAGAAGAGCCTCGAGTGAAGTATTCCAAGCCCTGAAAGAAAATAACCTCCATCCCAGACTGATATACCCTGATAAACTGAAATTAATGGAGAAGCAAGATGCTTCCAAGACAAAGAGGAACTTGGGAAATTCGCAACCACCAGTTCAACTCTACAGAGAATACTGCAGGGCATTCTAGAGAGAGAGAAAAGTACTAGTTATTCCAGGAACAGTGGCAGATAAGCCTCAATGAATGGAGCAGAAGACAGAATAAAGAAGATAAGCAGACAACTGATGGCAAAAAAAGAGCATAACACAAATGAGGCAGAGAAGATTTTATTCAAAACTGATATGATTGATAGTATCAAGTCTGAGTATAGGCAACTACACTGAAGATGACAAGACTCTACGATACACATTCTGGTTTGATAACTGTCAGTTTTTGAAGTTCTATACTATATACGAAGTTGTGTTTTTATTAGTACTGTTATGTACTGATATATTCAATTATACTATGTCTGATAATATAGCCAATTCTACTGGAGATAACAAGAGACAACACAGGAACCATGGTAGAATGCTTTGTACAATGGTCTTATATTATTTTTGTTTCATGTGTTTATAGGAATATGTTTTGTTTTGTCTTGCTTTGTTTTGTTTTTCCCTCTAATATAGAAAGGATAGAAATACATGTTAAGATTCATGCATGTGTAGAATCTATAAACAGTTTATGAGAGCTGATCTTAAGACACATGATGAAATGAACAGATACTTTGAAGAAAAAGAGACTAAAATACTCAGTGCTGATCCTGGAGTATCATAATGTGAAACCCAGCAATAGTATTATTCTTTGTTCGGAGTGATATTAAGCCTGCTGGGTTTATTCAATCTCAACATAATTGAAGTTATAGATAATTGCATGTATGTGTAAGTGTATAGGATTGATAATCATATTTCTAAGTTTTGTTGGATAGTTGAACAGAACTGGTTGCAATCTCACTGTTTGAATCCCCACTTTATATGCTCCACTTTAGTATTATGAATAACTATTTGTAAGAAGACAATCTGTAATCATCAACTAGTGATTTCTTACTGTTTATTTTTTTTCTTTGAAATTATGTATTATTTCTACCCGTTTTCTGCTTTGTTTAGTCTTTCTTTAAATTAAATTTAAAAAAAAAAGACACTGCAGTACCCAGTGCTGATCACGGAGTGTCATGATGTGAAATCCAGCAGTACTATTATTCTTTGTTCAGAATGATTTTAACCTGCTTTAGTTTGTTTAATCTAACCATAAATGAAGATATGGATAACTGCATGTATGTTTAAGTATATAGGATTGACCACCATATTACTAAGTTTTTGTTGGACAGTTGAACAGAACTGTTTCTAGTCTTGCTGTTTGAATTCCCACTTTACATGTTCCATTTTTGTATCTTGAACAACTATTTGTAAAATGACCATATGTAAACATCAACTAGTGATTTCTTACTGTTTATTTTTTTTCCTCTGAACATATGTATTATTTCTACCTATTTTCTGTTTTGTTTAGTCTTTCTTTAAAAAAAATTTAAAAAAATAATAAAAGCCTAGCAAAACAAACTCCATAAGATTCTAAGAAATAATTGATGCTTTTTGATAATGCTCTGCCATCCAGGACCAGTAAGTAGAGATTCCATATTTGGACCCATTGGAGAAGAAACCCTGCCAGTGTGTGAGTGTGGGGGACAGATGGTCAGTGTGTTAGGCAGGGACCAAGCCCCACAGCTCCTGGTTGTTCCTCCCCCATAGCTTTGGTGCAGGGATGTAGCCTGCTAACACAGTGTTATGGATGCCCCTCTTGCCTCACATTTGAAACCAAGAAATTTACCTTTCTGACCTCTGAATCACCTTTGGAGTTATTCTTAGCTTGCCTTGGAAAATTGAG